ACTTACCACTCGAGTGGTTGAGTCGAGTCTTTAAGCACGTGTTTTCTTAATTAACGTAAAATGTGTGCCAATAATAATGAATGATGCATCAACGTCGTTTCATTAACAAGGTACCTACTGAAAGAAAAATTGAGTCATTTTCTCAGATGCAAAAGAGATACTCACAGCAACAAGGGTTTGGTATCTTCAGTCATTTTCCAAAGTCCACTGTGTCACAGAATACAAATATTAGATCACAATCACAGGTCAAAGTGTCACCCTCGTCAGAACCACAGGGTGCATATGATGTCAGTAGGGCGACATGGAACGTACTAATTCGAAACGTATCGGCGAGTTTATCACTATTTATCGTGCACTGGCGCTCCTTGCTATTACATTAATAGATAACGACTACTGTGCAAATACTACCGCCGATAAATCACTAACATTAGTAAGCCTAATCATTGTACGTCTGTGGCAGGGTAAGTGACAACTGAGGCTTCTACTCAGGTAATGCTGATTCGTCCTGTTATTTGATGATAACGCTTATTAAAATACAACGTTTACCAAGAGAATGTTTGCGTTCGCATTAGTTGGCAGCTTGTTTACTTTATTTGAAGGTTGCAATGCGTTGTTGCTTGATCGAGTTCCTTCTTTCACAATATTTTTCACGAAAACAAACCTGTGATTGGTCACCGTTGGTGTATGAAACCACGGTAATATGTACTATCATACAGTATTGTAACTTCTTTTATACGGACGAAAAGCGAGCTTTCCTTCGAAATTCAAATCTCGGTATGCGCTCGACATGCAAAAGTCGCGAATGTGCCACAGTAATAAACGGACGATGTGTTGTTTTTTAAACAGTAAGCGCTCTTATTTTTTATAAAAATAATTACACGTACCTATTTATACAGGGTGTTAGGTAAATGGGTTTATAAGCCGACACTAGCCGACACCGACAGATTTGTATGAAAATTAAAATTATTAAAATGATGATAATAATTTTCTGATTTCACCATACCATTTATAAGCACATGTTAACATGGGCTAGTGTCGGCTTATAAACCCATTTATCTAACACCCTGTATAATATCAAGCATTTTGTACGCCTCAGTCGAGGCGCATACATTTTATGGTCTTAAAATAAGATTTGTTACTAAATCTTGATACAAATATATTTTTTTAATTAAATCTACTAATCACAAAACAACATGCATTTTTATCCTATTTCATTCGCAAAGTATTTTGTTTGTCAAAATAAAATAAAAATTACATTCACAAAACTAGATAGAAATTCTAAATAGGCAGATGTAGGTAATGAAAATAGGGTCTGCAGGTGGGCAGCCCTATCGCATGTTGTCATACCGTGACGTACCGCGCGGCTGTTGACATTTATTTCAAAAATATGGCCGAGTTGGAATACTGTATAGATAGCATTACCGTGATGAAACTGAACTCTTGCTTCAGTATTGAATTTCTGCATTTTTAACTTTGGATCGAGTTTTAAGCGTCCAAGACGTTTCAGAATTTATTTTCTTCTAAGAAACTTCATTAGTTACTACTAAAAAGACTAAATTCCCAAATCTTGAAAACCGTGATTTAACGGCCAAAATTTGAGATTAGGGACGGCCATGATGTTACAGGGTTATCCATTGTTACCAGGAGACGCTGTAAATTATGAAATAGCAGTCCCCGAGTATGGTTTGATGAAAAATTTAAAATCTCATACTCAAAGGGCTAACAAGCAATACCCTATTATGAATAAAAAGTAGACACAGTAAGTAAAATATGAAATCATAACTCGTACTATAAAGTCGTCTACCGGAACTTAAATATCATAAGCAAACGTTTACATAACTTATCAGCATTGGGGCATAATACAAATAAACAGACTAAATAAGGTTGAAGACGTGTGTGAGGATTGTGATGTAATAAAAATATTTCAAGTAAAATTAGTAGGTATGCTTCTACAATTCTTATAGGAAATCGATAAAGAATAGATGTGAAAAGAATGAAATCCCTCGTTTCCTATCGGTGTTTTGCTTTCTTGACTTTAACAGTTTGTTGCGGGTTCGAGTCCAGCATGGACAAGAGTAAGTATGATAAGTACGAGCATTTAACTGGACTCATGAACGTTTAGTCATAGTAGTCAATCCGTCACAACTATGTAAGAGGCAGCGTGCAGCGTCGAGAAAGTAAATAGGTAATTTTACCTAAGTTTGAGCCTAATTTTCTATATTCTGAATCTAGACAATATGGTGGGACAGTTGGAACAATCTATCTTATAGTTCTTCACATGGAAATATTTAAGACCTTATACAAACACGAGCGGTTTCTAGATGGTTCTCATTGGCGAGGTACAGATGTGATAACCATGCGGTTATGATTTGAAGTAAATGTACGAGAACTATCCAACAACCGCGCGACTATCGCTGTCTGAAGTTCTGAACTAGGCCTAAATGTCCCAACTATTCAAAGCACATTCGTCCCGAAAACGGTTCGTAGCCGTATTTATTTAGGAAAACCAACTCGAGGCGGTGGATGCCGTGGATGTCGGAGTCTAGTCGGAGTGTTCTTCGTGTGAAACTCCGTACCGCAAAGCACACTTATCCGCACCGTGACGTAAGAGTAGGCGCACACCGTTGATTTTTAGTTGGCCGATAGTTGTGCCCGATTTTAATTTGTATGAAGAATCGGCCAAATCGAATCGGCGTAGTGTGCCGCACTCCCATACATGCCCATACTGATCAACTGCCCGACTAAACTATCGGCCGACGAAAAATCAACGGTGTGCGCCTACTCTAAACGCCTCGCCTCACGACAAAAGGCGATACGGTGTTGATCCCTTTCCGGGTTGATAAGTGTGCTATGACCTTTATGCAGCTACATAGTAGCCGAAACAGGCCATGACTAGTATGCAATTATGGACTTAATAACTACTAAGTATAATGATAAGATATTCATATACCTACTTATCACCTCATCCAATCCGCACTGGCTGCTATTGACCTCGATTGTATGTAGGCAATAGATTATTGATAATGTACTTTATGGCTTATCAGTGTAAAATTAATTGATTAATTTTAATTGATTGAATACTAAAATTAAAATATTTTATTTTTGTGTGTAATTGGAACAGTGTTGATAAAATGTTTAGACTCTATCTTACTAATATTATAAATGCGAAAGTTTGTGTGGAAGTCTGGATGTTTGTTACTCTTTCACGCAAAAACTACTAAACGGATATTGATCAAACTTTACAGTATTACTGTTTATAGCCCAGAATAACATCTAGGCTATAATTTATGACGATCTGTGACAAACTAAATTTCACCCGGGTGAAGCTGCGGGCAAAAGCTAGTAACAAAATAAATAAATTGTGAATTAATATTTCAGTATCTTAGAAAAGAATAGGTAACAAATTAGTATTTAGGTCAAATTATAAAACTCCTTGGGTGAATTCATAACAATGAAGAAATTAAGAAACCCAGCTGATATGAATTAAAAGTGAGCAGTAAACCATAGATTATTTTTGTTTTTTATTCGAGCTTTATTTGTCAAGGAAATAGTTAACGTACAGCTTATTTATGTTTATCGTCATGTATAAGCAGTGATGGTTGATGATCCATTCGATGCAAAGAGTGTACGATTTGGTATTCATGATCCGTCAGCAGCAAAGTTTATTTATTGCTCAAGGTGAAGGAATTAATGAATTTTAATGTGTATTAGAAAAAAAATAAAGTCTGCTTGACGATATAGATTTTATCAATATTAATAAACAATACCAAAAAATATTTTTCAGACAGTTCATTAATTTTGTCACACTGTTTCTCTAATAAGAAATAAGAACATTATTAAATTAAGTTTAAAAATAAAAGAGGCATATAAGCCTGTAGTAAAAGAATACCTACACTAAATATCCATTGAAAATCAATCCATTGAATAATTACCATCACGGATTGTTATCAAAGAATTTTCAGTCATTGATAATGAAATATAATTTTACATCAAAATACTAATGATGCCAAATACTGATAAAGCTCAGTGCAATAAAATTAAAACAATCAAAAAGGATTTAAAATAATTAGGTTAACATCTAAAAGAGTTGAAGGTAATAAACTCAATAAGTTCTAATCATAAACAACGATGTCCATAATTGAAATCAATTGATAAAAAATATATACTTAGGCTGAGTTGCACCACCCAAATATGACCGTAACTATGACGATAACCAGTGTTTTTTGTATGGAGTTTGACAGATATTTGATGTTTGTCTCAGTTAAAGAAAGATGGTGCAACCCAGCCAAGTGTAAAAAAGTGAAAAAAATATTATTATACCTATGCTAATGTTGTTTATTGTAAAATCCAAAAAAGAATCTGATGTCATTTATAATTTTAAATAATAAAAAATAAAACATACAAAATTTAAACAACAGCCTTGAACTACATGGCATTTTAATAAAAGGAAAACCTTTTTCTTAGATAAATATTTGCCTGTTATTTTACAAATTAGGATATTTTAAATAAATATTTTGTCGAATGGAAAATCCTACATCTGGTGCTGCCTAGTTGGATCATGTTTAAGTGTAGTTGCTTAATTAAACCATACATAGATACATTTTATTACTATGATAAGCAAAAATATTTACGGACTCATCGGAGAGCAAAATTAGGAAAAGTATTTTGTAGTTGGTGGTGTTGTCTGTACAAGACAAATTAAAAGCAGAAATTATTGCCATCTATTTTATGAAATATGTATTCAAGAGGTAACTGTTGAGATACATACCTAAAATTGTTGCTTTATGATGACTTTTTAAAATGAATAATGCTTTAAATTATTTTAAAATTAAATTACTTACATTTTATAATTTGTTAGAACTTACAAAATTCGCAAATTCCTTGAACGCAACGCAACACACCTGTTTATTTTCAATGAATGCAATCTATTGAGACCTGTCAAAGGTCAACCAGGTGAAAACGACCTGTAAAGTGATCCAAAAATGCAAGAAATAACTTACCCATTCATCTTAGTCTGCGATCCTTGCTCCATTATCCTATTTTGCACTAAGCACCCAGGAGTTTCCGACTGTTCTGCTATGTGGTGGGCCTCAACATCCTCCAGGATCGCTGCCCTATCAGCATTCGTCTGGTTCAACTTATCACTCGACAAACTTTTCGACCTATATCTACCATTGATTGGAGCTAAACTTTTATCTGAAAACGCACTCAAACCGTTCAATTTTGTATCGTTTTGGCATTTTTCGTTAATTTTAATGGATGACATTTCGCACTAAACAAATTCGCGCGTACGTCAATGCGAGCTGTCAATCTCAGCTGCGCCGCGTTCCGAACTAACGTTTTGATACAGAATCTTTGCGTTATGCCAGCATCGAACAAAACAATAAAATGCGACCCAATTCGCAACACCGCTATTCGCTTTTGTACCAACAACTTAACTGGTGATATTTTAAACGGCCGAGTTATAACTGGCAAGGATCGCGCGTTGCTTAGCTATTTGAAAAAGTTGGTCAGTTTTTGTGAAGTTGGATTACAGAAACGCTGAAAAGGCATGAAAAAAACCTTTTGTATTCAGCGGCGATTCTTCTTTTGTATTAGATTAAAAACAACGGAGGAAAAAGATAAGAATGAAAACGGAAGTCAAAGAAACTTGGTCCCGAAAATTTTACATGAACCGGAAGTCGGAAATGATTTCAAAATACAGGGCCGTATTGAGGTATGTAACACTGTACTGTATGTAAGTATTTAATGATGATTGATTATATGATTGATTACAATATTTTTTTAAGTGGTTAACGTTTATTTATTTAGTAATCTATTTTCTCTGGTTCTAAAGTAAGTATGCATTATTTTCTTTTTCCGGCGCCTACTTACCTACCTTATTAGCGATTTAATTAGGCTAATCAATTTTCTAAGACTATAATAGAGAAAATATTTAAGTAAAAATGTATAGTCATAATAAATTGAATAGTAGGTAATGTTAATGGTAATAAGTATCGCATAATAATGTTGTGCGATATCCTTATTATAATATATACTCTAATCCACAGGTACAGAATGGAAAAGGTACCAACCCAAATCAACTTTCGTCCATCAGCCCGACGCATACGGTTTTCCGAGCAGCCTGTATCTACAATTGGTGAGTTTCGCAATAATCACGCAATATTCCGATTTGATAACAGTGACAAGCGTCAGTCGTGGGAATTATAATGCTACAGGTAACACGCTGTTTCCGAGGCTGGCCACTTGACCTCAAGTTATACGTGATCTGCATTGACGTAAGCTGTTTGAAAACGTGAATAATTAATTTTACTATTCTGCCTATTTGACAGCGTGTAAAATCGTTACAAATACTTCAGTCGAACTACTTACTAGAATAACTCAAATGCTCGGTCTTTATTTACTGCGTTTTCTGCTTATCAAAGATTTAAACTTACATATTCGACAGATGAATACATTTACGATTTATGAATGATGCTTTTGAGTAAGTACGTCATTAGTTAATTTTAAGAATAAAATTCAAAACTAATGATAGGTACATGAAAAGTTTGTATGTCGTACCTACAATAAAAAAAAGATAAAACTGTTGTCTTCTGCGATATTTTGGAGATTTATTCAAAGCAATTGATCATAATTAGTGTATTATAAGATACCCACATGTGATGTCACTTGTAGTTGGTCATCCGGTCATAACGTAAAACATACCAAGACCCTAATAAGAAATAGACTGCATCAATTCTTCCGTGATCATGGCGCACTCAAAATTGTAACGGATTCTCAAAACTCATCAAAAAAGTAAATTACATTTCACAAATTCACATCGATCACCAACGCGACAATGTTTTTTATTGTTCTTTTCTTGATAAAGGTTTTAAAAAGAACAAGAACGGTTTATACAACGAGCCAACTGATATCTACTTCTATCGAATGATTTGAGAGAGGCTTCACTGCGATTAATTATTATGTTAATTGCGAAGACCAAGCGTGAAATGAACACAATGGGTATTTCATATTATGTTATTAAAAAATATCGTCACAAAATTAGTAATGCACAACTGTGAGACCGTCACGTAATGAACACACAAATGTGTTCGACAACTGCCTTAAAGTCAACTCATGATTTTACCGACAGATGATATTTCAATCTGTTTGTACACGCCGAGTTGTGACTTCATTGTGAATTTGTCAGACGTACGTGCAAACTAATTACATAAACATGACTAAAATTGGACTAAAATGCTAGTGGATTACCACAATTGTTTAAATTTCACACTGAACTAAAATGGTACGACCGTATAACCTGTTTTGTTAAATTTTCTCGACGTACTAAAGGATCTGGGGTACATGCGTGTATAGTCATAGCATGTTTATCATTTTGTTTACCTATTCCACTTGAAAATTAATATTATCTGTATGTATTGTTTGACTAAAATAATTTACCGAAGGACCTGTCAGTTCATAGTCTTGTGCGTAGCGTAATCAGTGTCAATATTATAGGTAGGTACGACTGCAAATTTTCCATACTTATTTTAAAATTAATTAAAGTCTCATTGCCAAATTATATTTTTTCTTTTTTCATAGGAGGGCAGGTCTGAAAGTGATATCTAAAGAAAGCTAAAATAGCGCTCAGAAGGAAGGAAACAGACAGCACTTTTTACGACAGTGTTATTTTCTAAATATACCTAAGTATTTTAGTTTGCTTGCCAATAGCACAGCCACTAGTTACATTATAAGCTAGGCGATTCAAAAATAACCTCCTATCTCCATATCGGTTGACCGGACACCGCAAACATGCATTTATTGGGAGTGTGAGAAATGTAAACTTTGATATGACACCGCGTCACTTGCCACAAATCGACGTACAATTTGATAATATAATAACAAAACACGAATACCTAGACATGATACACGTGTAACACATAAAATTACATTGTTAAAAATATGTTCTTGTACTTACATTGTACTTTAAGGGACTCATCCAAATAAATAATATCATCTAGATTCCTAATAACTTTCTTATGTTGTTTCGCTAAGCATAACTACATGTTACTAGTGATTCTGACCTTGCACTGTTCTCCAGATTCCTGACGATCATAATGGTTTTCTTGACATCCTCCATTTTATCACACTTTCACAGTCCAAATGAGAGAGCACAATGATTAACGACTACCCGGCACAGGTGTTTAAAAGTATATGAATGTAAACGTTATCAGTTTTGTATCATAATAAACCATGTGTTTTGCTACTATTTCATCCAACCTGAAGATGAAGGTATTATAGCAACACTTTTTGAATATAGACGGGTACTTTTTATGCGCTGTTATAGACCATTTTTATGACTACCCTACTTACAACAATATTTTGCTGACACGGATATTTTTTATCGAATTTTTGGTACCTAACTTGAAAAGGACTACCCGAAAAAAACTTGATTGAACCATAGCTTAATCTACGCAAGTGGAGGACGCGCGAACTGTAATTATTTTAATCAAAAAGAGATTAAAAACATACTTAAAATTCTACGTACAACAAAAAATAGTTTTTGTCACATTACTCATCAGATAATCGTAGCAATTAAGATCACGGATGATTGAATGCTGACCCACAAAGAAGCCAAAAAACCATGGTCATTGCAGATTGCTTTTTATGGTACTTCTTATCTTAATTTCCACTCATTTAAAGATTCAGCGTAAACACTAGCCTACTCATTTACTTACTGACTCATAAAAGAAAAACAGGAAAGATTATAATGCTTTTCTTAGTCAAATTCAAATAGTTTATTCAGTAAGTAAGCTTTTCCAGGGCACTTATACAACAAATAAACGTCCCAAGGTATATTACCTTGCCCTACCACCACTTCGGGACAACATACATGTTATGGCCTGGTGCTGAGATGAAGTGGTGGAAAAAATTCAGCCTTTTTCTAACTAAACTTAATTTATAACTACATGACACGTAACAAGTGTGCGAGCTTGGCAGGTAAAGTCCACGCACTCTTGTGCGTAAATAAGCGTATACTTTATAGTATCCTTCTTTCATAAGGATTTTGTTAGACGTTGTTACAAGCAATGCTTGTTACAATTTGGGTAATGCAAAAGATAGTATCATTTAAGTCTCAGACTTTTTATAATAATATTGAAATGCGCATTTGCAGACAGACATTCTGACCAGATTTTTCTTAACATGACCCAAGGAAGTACTTTGCATATTTGTCGTTCGTATTCATTCCTTATCGGAGCACGTCCAAAAACAAGATCAAGAGACGCGTAAGATAACTCTGTTTAACGTATAATTTCTGGTAGCATACAATTGCAGCCACACACAACAGCGCTGAGTTCATATTTCTGAGAACATTCGCAGTACATAATTTGTTTATTCTGCGTGAAATCCGAGGATACAACAATGGTGATGCGTCGCGCTCGCGGATCTGCGCACGCGTCGCAGCCAATACAAAGAGGAATGACAACAGAGACCGCTAATCCGACGTTAATCGTGTTTGTTATAAAGTTACTGACATAACAAAGTATTATAATGGAATCATGTTACCAAGTTATGTAAAGCACGTACCTACGTCGTACATCGAGCTAAACACTGTATTTAATTTTACTACGACTTTTTAATATTGTGTTTGCTGCTGGTATAAAATACTATGTATTGTTTTATACATTAACTTTTACTTGGTAATATCAAATAGTAAGGCATGATAATTTGTAACAATAAATCGTCTTTTTCCAAGAGAACGATAAAATTATTAAATATGCAAAATATGTTATTACACAACATTTTAAACCAATTTATTTACTATTAAAACATTAAACATTTTTATAAATACATAAGTAATAGTATAAGTATATTAGTACTTAGTAGGGCCCTGTGTTATTAAAAGTTTCAAAATGCGCGGGAGAATTTTAATAAATTAATAAATTATACCTATTGAAGAAATGTAAGATAAAATAAAATAAAATAAGTAAAATAAAATCCAAATGAGGAAAATCTTAACCCACACATTTCATGGGGCCGATGGTTCCATTACCCCATGGCGTGTTGGCCAAGAACGTTACATTTTTATGCAACATGGTGCGTATGGATCGCGTGGAAACGAAAGTGAATTACACAATTAATGAATGGTTCAACCAATTACAGCAGCGGTCAATTCTGACACTGTTCGAAAATTATACATGGTAGGTATGATGATAGTACTACATAAGTTAATTCCGTAAAATGTTATTCTGTACTAAGAGGACTCTACTAAAAATCTACAATACCTCCTGATCTGATATTAAAATCTCAGCATTTAGATACCTACTTTCACTACTTTCTTTATGAGGAATGTTACTAGAGTTCTGGGTACAGATCCCATAATTTTCTTCTAAGTATAGTTTTTGAGAAGAATATTTTCTCGCTCTACTCTCATCTATTCTGTGGACTCAAGCATCGACCTCTTGAGGCACTCTTCATTGTTATGCTCGATCATGACGCGCGTTGCGTGTGTCGGTAGTGACCCACAATCAGTCAGAATTTTGTCTTTGACGATGACTACGATGAAACATTTCAATGTTTTTATTTTCATGTGAAATCTTTGATTCGGGTTTTAAAGAATTTATTGAATATCAAGGGCTGAGAAAAGAATGGATAGAGTCTAATCATCATCGATGGTTGTATTGGGTATTAGCAGTACTTATTATTATTCTGTGGTATTATTATTCTGTGGTATTATTAATCCCTATTTTAACCATGTGCGACTTTGTTCACTTATTTCCAGTTTTTGCAAAATTTTCCATCTTAAACGAATTAGTTAATTCGTCCAAGTTTTCCATTGATGCTGACAGAATGTAGGTAACATTGGCCACTGACATCTGAGGACATTGTAGCTTATCAGTATTGCACTCCTTGTGATGGGTTTGCAAATAAACAACATGTCTCGTACGTGCGGCCACGGTGACAGGTCATGGATGCTTTATCTATCGAGATTATGTAAACTCAAACTTTCTTTTATGGGGTGATCTCTATCGTTATCTCTTAAGTGCCGAAACTCTAGAATTTTCTGATATTTTGGTCTAAACATCCTCTCCAGTTTCCGATACAAATTGACCAAGACGCTTGCTGTTTGACCAAGTTCTAAATTAGAACATCTACTTACACAGTCATCATTACTTCATTCAGTTGTGTCATGAATCAACTGTAATGAGTCAAGGATCAATTCGGTGCTAGTTCAACCACAGATCCAAGCTAAGGACACCCTGTAGGTGCACCTCAACATCACGTCTCTCACTTACTTACCTACTTGAGTCAGTAACGAAAGGCTCGGCCGAACCAACGCGAGCAGCCTGCGTGCGCGATGGCGATCCCACTGATTTCTACTGATCGCCATCGCGCACGCGTTGTTTGGCCGAACCTTAAATTTACCTAAGGAAAAGAAGCTAATACATAGTAGATAACTACTCTGTATTAGCTTCTTTTCGATGATTAAGAAGTTGTAGCTTGGTACAGCAGAGTCAACGCCTCAACGGCATTTTGTCTTTCGACTTACAAATCTTTGCGAAGGAGCTAAAGATTTTTATAAATACTTTGTCACCAGACTCTACTTCTACAACTCTAAGGCGGAAATATTTCCCAATAAAAAGTTAGAGTAGGTATCTGACAAGTGTTCGAGGAAGAGGAAGCGTCCGTCGCGGTTCGTTAGGCGATCTTCGTAAAAACAATGATTTCCTAGATCTCTCTTTAGAGAGATGTTTTGATTGAGAGGAGACAGACAATAGCAAGAGATTCGCTAATTGATATTCTGTTATGCTTCACGGCGATGATAAGTCTGTCAGTTGAAGTAAACTACTGAAAATGTATTTATTTAGGTAATAAAACGTTTTTAATTAAGTAAGTAGACAGTATTGGCAATCGTTTTTACGTATTTAAAATAATTAAATAGGTATTTAAAATTCTTTGGGTTTTTCTTCGATATCTTTTTTAGTAGAAGTTCCGATAGTCCGATCTCAAAAGATGATCTTGTGACATTACGATAACTTTTAGGCCAACAGATTACATAATTTATGATTTTGTTTTGTTACTTTTAAGTAAAGACAATGAGGACTGCAAGGTTACTTATAAACTTTTTGAATTACATAGTTGTTATTTAGGCACAGTGATGAATACCTATTAGGTACTAATAAAATTTAAATTACTCACACACAGAATAATACTAATAACAAACTTTTATTTCGCTATCGCAATAATACGATTAAGTATTTATTCAAGATTTGCAATTCCAATTATACAACAATAACTTACCTAACCTTTATTATCGCATAAGTAAATTGCTAATTTAAAAATCATAGCGTAAAATAACAATGCATAATGCACTCCACTTCAAGTGGATGGCCATCCACTTAGAGATATGATAAGGGGAACTACAATGTACTTACTTACTTACTACTATCACTATGGCCTGAAGGTCGCAAAAAATTACTATTGTTTTTACTAAAACATACCTAACTTAGTTAGCACCTAGTTATTAAAAGAAACTGATGATCTTTTTAAAGAACTAAAAGAAGTAGGTATTCTTAAGCTGTTTATGTAAACTCTGCTCCTATTTTCAGAAACATCGTTTTGCCAATACAAAGTCATTGAGCATCTACTTTTTTGCCTGTTCAGAAGCAAAATTTTACTCCGAAATATCATCTTTTATTCAGTTTAATCATCTTTTATTCAGTTTATTTCTCACCTTGAGACTACTTCAGTTCATCTAAAGCTTAACGCCTACCAAAAGTGTGAAGGCAATATCTTGCACGTCATGAATTTCATTTGAGATATTTTTATAGGAGTAGTATTTATTTATCAGAGATTACAGATATTTCAAAGTTTATGTTTTTTTATTGCCACAAGGCTATTTTTCCCAAAATAGTTCAACAAGTTCTCAGCTAAGTGAATTAATATTAACCAAGTCTCTAATCACATTTTCTATTAAACAGCCGTGGCATACTCGTATCTATGATACGGATAGTAGTTTCTCACGTTCAGAGTGAACTTGACATAGTTGATGCGCCTGACCTCCCACTGACCGGAGCGAAGGCCAAATGACCCCATGCATAATGTAGCCCTATATCGGGACGACTCGACCCTATTGGGCTAGACGAGGCGTGATAATAATATTAATAATTAGCCTGTTCCCAGAAACAGAAGTTATTTATGTAAGTTAGACAAGTAATATAATTCACAGTGATTTAATAATTAAAATAACTCGAAAAAATACATCTAACAAAACAATATAAGTAACATTAAAAATATTTCATCATCCTGATTTTCGAATATAAGATTGCACCAGTTTCACACCAAGGTAAATGACGGTCGTGTAAAAAGCAAAGCGCATACTCGATTTGTAATTAATTTGGGAGAACCAACGTTCCAAGGGACTGGCGCTCAGAGTGATAGGCCATTCAGAAGAGCTCAGGTCTTCATAAGTCTGAGCCTGAGGTCGGAGGCAGCTCAGCAAATGCAGGTACGTTGTGTGACCTGCTTCCAACGCTGCAGCTACATCTCCTTCGGCAAACACATCTAGAGCACCCCACTCCAAGTACCTCCTAGTGACCTGCCCGGTCAGCTTGCGCAACGCCACGTAATCACCACATCGAGGCACAAAGATATCAGCGATGTCTGTCTCCGTATAACTAACCGGAGACGCTGCTTCCTCTCCAAACAGCTTCACGAGTTGTTCCAGAACAGCTACCTTAGAATCATCAGCGTCAGCCTTATCCCTGACCATCATGTATCCTGTCAAAGTCGCATAACGCGATAAGCTACCTGTCGTAGAAAACTTGGGTCTTTCCATAGCCCAGATTATGGGACCGCGTATGCTCAAAATGTCACCGCTGTATCCTTGGGCTTCCCAAAAGTTATTTTCGTATTGCACAACAAACTTTTTAGCTCGTCCAGGTCTCATAGCACTAGTGATATCAGCATCTTTCCTCGCTAACAATTGATCTTCGACTCTAATTTTGTGAAGCTCATCAGGTCGCAATGCCATAGCGAGGAGGTTACAGACGTAATTGGTCCCGCCTTTCATTGTTTTCAGTATGACGAGTTCATCAGAATATGTACTGATTTCTTTGATAGGATTGGATGATAGGATAATGTCCCCGATACTCCGTTGGAGTTGATTTGTCAAACGTTTTCTGCAGTATCCTAAAAGTTTTTCGCGGAATCTCGTATTATCGCCATCGAGATGATTCCTGCAGCTGTTGGTTCGATAACATTGATGCAAATAGAATAAAACCGAGATACTGTCAGCCGGCGCCCCACATACCACTCTCACAGTTGTCCTCATGATGTCACGCGATGTAGAAAAGATAAGAGCGCTGCATAGATGCTGTTCCATTGTGGTCTGGTCATAATACAAAAGTTTTTTTCTGTCGGCATCCGTGGCTTCTCTTGTGTGAAACATGTCTCTCATGCTGTGGTCTAGTAATGATTGATACTGATTCAGTTCGAACTTCTCTATGAATCCTAAATAATCGAAGTTGTGAAAGTCCTTGGAAAATTCCACAGTGCTACCGTTGGTGTGTTGGAAAAGTTTGTTGAGGGGTGACTTTATCCGGACTGGTTCGATGATGGCCTCGGGAATAGGGATGTTTAGGTCTCTAGCGTATTTTGTAATGTAATGTCGTGCGACGTTGTCTGTTACCTTAGCCTCGTCGTCGTCCTCGTCGTCGTCGATGCCAGTTTCGGGGTTGTCAGATTCGGCGTCATCGTCGTGGTCTGTGAAGAAAGCAACGTTGCACTTGGAAACCAGCCTGGAGGTTTCCGCCATGTCAAGAACTACAATGTCCATGGTGTTGCCAAACTTCCTCTTGAGCTTGTGGGCGGTGACGATGCCCGGGAGGCTACATCCCAGTATGATGACGTCCGCTTGGATATGGTTCGACTGTCCTCTACCTTTTCTGAACGGTTTTTCTAATTTTTTAACCATATGTGAATTTTTTATTGTTCCATCAAAATTGTGGACGACTAACAGCTGTCGTTGTCATTTTACTGAAAAGATTAATGGAATAGTTGGAAATAGTCAGTATTAAAAAGTATTTAATGTGTGAAAATTATTTATTGAAAACAGGCTCTATGGCACGTCTATGGTGTGTAGGGTACACACACAGTCATGAAAAAGCAAGCAAGACGTGCATTGCTTAGCTTAGGTACCTTCCTAGACTTTTCTATCTAGTTTTGTCGCTGTGGATTACACCATTTCATAATTCCTATTACATTTTGTAATTTTACTCGTATTTCAAATTATGTTTAGTAGCTAGGTATGTACTAACTCAAACACCTTGATACTATGCTAAAATTTATCTTTAACCAGCTAAAATGCGCCTTATCATATTCACCAAGCAATAAAGAACACAGGTTCACGTATCTGCCACTTTGCTGTGTTGGTTTACTACTATTATTCCATCTATCTTTAACATGTTACCATTCCTTGACTTTTCCTGTGAAAAAACATGAAAACCTTGTCCTATTGCTTCTTAAAAACACAATAAAAAATAATCAGCCATGTGATTTTACGTCATAAATTCAGCTGTTTATCATAAGTAGTTTATTAGATTATTACAAGCATAAATTTTTATCACTAATTTACTAAAGTATTTGTAATTAATTAGAAAGCTCTTCGTCGAAAGCTATTTGTGTATCGGGGCCTAGAAGGTCTGATAGCCTCAACATTGTTGTAAGCTTATCATCTTAATGTTGTAAACAAATTAAAATTATAGAATTAATTTGCAGTTGTCTGTCTGTCACCTACATTGACATGAGTTTATAAATCAATTTATAAATACCGCGAAGCACATAAACAATCGTTATCAACGAGTTATATTCTACAAAACAATTAGTAACTGATCATTTGACATCGTTATTCAATCTACATATTTTAATTTTATTCATTGCCTTGATCATATTCATAAATAGGATTGGTTATTGAGATTTTAAATTAATAAAACCATAATTTTAACAACATAGGATCTTATGCTTGAAACTCTATTAGACTGTATAATTTCGCCAAAATTTAGCACTCTATGATGAAACAAACACCTCATGGATTTTTATCTGATTTTCAACAGTAGCTACTATTTTTTCCATGGGACCAATATCGGCGTTCTCAAACTAAGCTAATGTCTATCGCTTTGAAATTTAGTTTGTCACAGATCGTGAAATTTATTTTGTCACAGATCGTCATAAATTATAGCCTATATGTTAATCTGGGTTATAAACAATAATACTGTAAAGTTTCATCAAAATCCGATAAGTAGTTTTTGCGTGAAAGAGTAACAGACATCCAGACATCCAAACTTTCGCATTATAATACCTATTAGTAGGAAGACCGCCAAATTGGTGCCGTATCATTTGTATATTTTCTTTTCATTCTTATTCTTTCTTTTCTTATAAGAATATAATAATATTGTGTAAAATAAAGGGTGTTCTATCTGTTTATTTATTTATTTTATTTATTTATTTAGGTTCACCATCAACTATTACATCAATATTTGCACAGACACTTTGACAATTCAATAATGTAAATGTATAGCTATATTAAGGTAAACACCGCTTACATAATATTTAATGTTTGCTAATTATTTAAAGGAAAAGAAAAGAAAACAATAAAAAGTCTGTTAATCATTACAATTTACAACTCATTCAAACATGTTCAAAAGTCTCCATGACTGCCTTTCTAAACTGTTGACGGCTATCAAAGAATAAATCCACCGCCACACTGTGCTCATTCAATAACTTGCATAGACGAGGAATTAAAAAATCTACTAATTTATCTACGAGTATTATCCCACCGGACATCATACTGTTACTAAACCGCATTCAGATTCCATCGACCCTCTCCATCACACAGAAATGCACATCCTTCGATTATTTCATGATTGGTTCGATAATATGAACACTAGAAGCGTTGTCTTCGGTGTTATGGAAATAAAAGTTATTTCTGTACGCAGTTTTCATGAATAAATATGTCGTATTCAGCACCAGTTTATCTTGTGCATGTAGCTGTCATGGTATAAATTAAAAATCAGAAGAAAATTGTACGTTTATTAAGGTACGAGATGAGCGAAACCATTTCTCATTCGACACATTTATTTTATCATCATTGAAATAGTACAAAACTATACCAATAACTTATTAGACAAATTGAAATGACCACTGTATTCTATATTACTATATTACACTATATTAGGTGACCACTAGGTGCACCGACGATCTGGTGAAGGTCGCGGGAGGTGCCTGGATGCGAGCAGCGCAGGATCGGTCTTCGTGGAAATCCTTGGGGGAGGCCTTTGTCCAGCAGTGGACGTCTTTCGGCTGAAACGAACGAACGAACGAACACTATACAGTGTGAGTCACGTTAAAGTGTACATATGAAAATAGATGAAACTAGACCTATTTTTATCGACAAAAAAGAGGTCAAATTTTTTTTGAGATTTTTTTAAAATTTTTTATAGAATTTTTTTTCTTCCGATTACTTATTGTAAAGAAAACGTTATAACTTTTAAACTAAGCGGTATATCGTGATAAAATAAAAACAGTAATAATGCTAAATAACAGACAATACTAAAAAAAACATAAAATACACAAAAAAGGCCAACAAATAATAAAAAATGATACTTTTTGAAAAAAATCTGCTTAAAAATTCGTGTATTTTTGGTTATTTGATAAATTTCTCCAAAAAATGCCCCTATAACCAGTGGTTTTTATTACGTTGTATTATTCTCGATCGTATTACCTTCGTAAAACTAAAAATCGCATGTCTCTATCCCTATCACAACGTTTGCAATGATCGTTTGAACTAAGCCTCTCCGGGCGCGCCATTCAACGCTTCGTTAACAACGAAACTGAAAATGGCTCTAGATTTGTAATTTTGATAAAGACAAGTTAGATTTCAAATAAAAACAAAAGATTTCGAAGTAAAATAAGCATTTTAGTTAAAATTAAAATTGTCTCTACCTGTAGCGGAGAATAATGTTGTGGCAGGCCTTTGTTCAAACGATCATAGCAAATGTTATGATAGGGATAGAGACATGCGATTTTTGGTTTTACAAAGATAATACGATAGAGAATAATACAAAGTAATAAAAACCACCTGTTATAGGGGCATTTTTTGGAGAAATTTATCAAATAACCAAAAAAACACGAATTTAAAAGCAGATTTTTTTCAAAAAGTATCTATTTTTATTATTTGTTGGCCTTTTTTGTGTGTTTTATGTATTTTTTTAGTATTGCCTATTATTTAGCATTATTACTGTTTTTATTTTATCAGGTTATACCGCTTAGTTTAAAAGTTATTACGTTTTCTTTACAATAAGTAATTGGAAGAAAAAAAATTATATAAAAAATAAAATAAAAATCTCAAAAAAATTTTGACCTCTTTTTTGTCGATAAAAATAGGTCTAGTTTCATCTATTTTCATATGTACACTTTAACGTGACTCACACTGTATTAACCTAGTAAGTTTAACAAATAGGTATTATTCATTAATAGTGTTGTGGTCGTTTGTCCCCTCTTATCTACTCCACGCAGTCCATTAGTTAAATAAGCGGTCTTAGTTGTCTGTACAGTAATCTAACCAACCAACCAACCAATAGGCACCAACTGAAGTTGTACTCTGAATATCAGTCAAAGGAGCACTGCTAGTCTTTTTACTTTTTCCTGATCATAATCTGCTCCAAGAACATGCTGATAGAGCCTGTTTCGAGGAGTAGTCGTGACTGGGGCGTTGAGTTGTATGAATAAGTACAAAGACGCTGCGCAGGCGGGCAGCATTCCAAAGTCCTGGTTTTGCAAATAACGATTTAACCCCTTCACAGTCCATTAAAACGTACCTATCAATTTATTATCCTACGTTTAATACGTAGACACAGTTAATTAAAGTGGAAGCACAGATTGCTAATCAGTTAGAGTATATTGTTTTAAACTTTTATGCTAACTAACTATTGATAGTTAATACGGGGTTGCTACCATGTACCTTTTTATTTCAGTTACTCCGTGATCATCTTGCAACAGTAAGTACCGAAATATCGGAGGCTCGTCCTACTTACACAGTAGCAATCCCGTAGACTATTCAAATAAGTTAGAAGGTTCCAAATAGGTACCTTTTAATTGACTGTTTTAGTACACAGTACCGTTGTACTTTCTGCATATTATTCGTACTCATATGACGTAATATTATAATATGACCCGTCATATGACGACATGCTCTCATTAAAGAGACTCGTATACTACATAAAACTGAATGAAATAACTGCGCGTACGTCACACTTCTTTGTAGACATACCTACTGTCGCGTGACGTAAGGTTGTACGCGATTTGTCGGGGATTTTGTAGTAGTAATTATTTATTTACGTGGGGTGTGTAATGTATGATATAACTACATATCATATAATACTTAGAGGATATAACATCAAATTATATAAAATCATTTAATATAATAATTATTTACTATAATAAACGAATAATATAATTTTAAAACGAATAATTTTAAGACAAATAACATTTAACTGATATAAAATGGTTTGATATAATGAATATTTTCTATAAAACTTACAATGTATAAAATTTAAAACAAATAATATTCAAATCATATAAAAATAAAGTGTCGAACAATCAAATGAGATAAAATTCTTTTCCTATAAAACTTAAATCATATAACAATAATAATTTTATATAAAGTTCAATTGTTATAATAAGCATTGCATGCAGCAAGCAAGCAAGCAAACGAGCAAGCAAGCAAGCGAGCAAGCAAGCTAGCATGCAGGCAAGCAAGCAAGCTAGCAAGCAAGCCAGCAAGCAAGCAAGCAAGCAGGCAAGCAAGCAAGCAAGCAGGCAAGCAAGCAAGCAGGCAAGCAAGCAAGCAAGCAGGCAAGCAAGCAAGCAGGCATGCAGCATGCAAATACATCGAAAACAAAACACGCACGATGGCCCACCTACAGGATACTATTCGACAAGGCCTCACATACGAGCGAACA